TCGCACCACAACTAAACTTCACACATTTCTAGTAGTACTTGAAACACATGAATAAAGGTTATTTTGTTTTACTACTTCTGGATTTTGGGTTAAAAATCAACATTTTGGTTAAAAAAAGCTGTTTACTTCATGGCTTTACGCGCAAGTGGTAACAACACCTTTCATCATGATATTTTACAAGTAGAAAGCCAACCCCCTATTTATTATTTTTGTCCGAGGCTATTTTGTTTTGAATGACAGTTACATTGTTTTTTTGGGCCAAAAACGACAGAAACAGCTATTTTTCTGTCATTTTTCGTTAAAAAATCGCCACAGTTAAAAAATATCGACTTATATGCAAAATAGCCTCGGACAATTTTGATAAAAAAGTGATAATACGTAAACCTGGATTACTCTAAAGATAAATTATGCTGTTTTCAGCTGCGCGTAAAGCCATTTAAGTCATACTCGTGAACAAAATGCGTAACAACGCGGGTTTACAGGGGAAACATACAAATGACCGCCGGTAACCCCGAATTCGAATACGCGTTCTATTCGAATGACGTCATATCGAACATGGTGGAACATGATTCGGGTTCGATTCATGTATGTGGCAATCGTGCAGACACACGCCCGAACTCGAATATGAATATCAGCTTAGGCCGCCTTAACCCAACCGAGCCGGTCTAGGTAGGGTTAAAGGGCATAAAAAGATTTAATAAGATAAGAAAAAACTTAGCAGACCTGGAGCCTCCTTGCTTGGTGTAAACTTGTTTGGTTTTAGCTTGGTCTCTATGTGAAATTCTTTGTTCTATTGAAGCTGAAAGAAAGAGCTGCATTTTTTGCTATGGTCTTTAAATTTCGTCTGCAAAAGTCCCCAAATCTAATAAACTTTATGTAAGTCATTTCAATATGTCTAACTAATTATACTGCATGAAATTCCAGGAATATTCCAATAGTTATTTATATAACAAGGAAAAGGGGGTTACTGGAAATGTAGAATTTGATTGAGCACCCAAATTAGCTTGGGTCATGGACGTATGGTAGTAATTTGTGTATCTTCACTTGTGTTTTGTTGTTAGCCCAAATGTCTTGTGGTGAAAGCAAAAATTGTATTTTTTCTGTTTGTGCTCTTCAAAATATGTGTGCAAATGCTAACTTGGTATAGGTCTCTATGACTGAGCATTCGTTGTTCATTCGGCCATGGATAATCCAGAAGAAGACACAGAAAGGTTGGTTTTCTTCCACACTTACATACATACATGTATTATAATGATACATACAAACAATTGCTACATTTTCCTTTAAAATTTCTTGAAATGTGTTGAAAAATCTGGTGTTAGCAGTGTCTGGTATTAGTTCTCATGAAAGTACATATAAAAAATGTTATGCCACATGTAATGTCACATGTCTACAAATACTAGTAGTAGACTTGGATATTCCAATGTTGACGATAATTTACTACATTTCAGGATTGTCTTCTGTTTCAAGAAGAACAGAC